AGCCGTATCCCCCCTTTGCCACCATGCTTTCCAGGGTCCATCTGGATATGGAGTTGTGTCGTTAGGTCAAAGGAGTGCAAGAGCGGTCCCACCGAGTACATTTCCATAACATTGTATCGCGCGGGAATGACTCCCTACGACCGCTTTGATGTGTCTATGTGTGACATTATAACGGGATTGGTCCATCCCCCCCCCCCTCCGTGTGACTGGTCACCAGGAGGCGTAAGCCTTTCTTGCTCTCTACACTTAATAGTGCTGCTACCAGCCGTTGTCACGTTTTCCTAGGATACCTATGGATGTTTATTCTAATTTTGACCTCATATAGAAAAGATTGATAATAAGAGGCCGTTCATAAAATATGCTACGCTGAACTTGGGGTTTTTTGATGCCCCTCCCCCTTCGTAACATTTTTTGTGGAATTGGTCGCTGTCTTTTAACATGCACGTAAAAAAAACGGCGTAACGCCCTCTTCGACCAGAACGCGTAGTGCGTTATTTGTTTTATGAATGGCCGTAAGTGAACGGACAAGGCATTAAATTAAGACCATTTTTCCTCACATAAATATACATAGAACACGATGAATGCACTAGAATCCTCAAAAATCAATTACAATTGAATCCTCCTAATAGGTCAGAAAATAGCGTTTTCCGGTCAATTTGCCCTCCCACTCTTTGAAAACCAAATCTGCTCCAGTCGAATGGAGCTTTAAACTCTAATTTTCAGTAATACCGTCTTGATAGCGAAAATATGAAGCGAAAAAGTCCAAAAACTGTATTTTGTTCTATTTAGAAAATTTTGGCTTGAATGATCTGTCTGATGAACACATAATGTCATTCAAACTAAATTGATGGCTTATTTTTTTCCCTGATTCTTCTATTTCCTGCTCTTAATCCTTTCGCTATGCGCTGTCAGGGATGATTTTCCTAGTTAAGGTCAGTAACTGAAACAATCCCTTCCCAATATGGCATCAATGGATTACGGGACTCATGGTAGATGGTTGCGTCAAGTCCCGTTGCGTATCTACCCTACAACCCCATGGCCTAATTGACCTACTCAGTCACGGTTAGTTTGCGTAACCTCATTGATACCTTTTTTCGCCGCGCGCAACCCCTTTCATTCACCGACAAACCCTTTGATTCCATTGTCTACACACGTATTGATGTTGTTTCCGGGGTCCGCTCACACCTAGTGGTATGTTAATCTGCCGAAAGTATTGTGCTACAAGACAGAATGAGAGTTTTTACAGGTGGGAACTATGCCCTAAGATTATTGAGATCGGCGGGTTGGGCTGCCCGAGTAACCCAGTTATACCTTTCACCCTTTTGCACCTGCTCTTGCTGTATTTTTCTTTCCCGTTATTTTGAACCAGTTCCGGAATAAATGGACCGCGTTTAACAGAAAGGACCAACCAACCAAGCCACATCACCTATTGCTAAATCTATGAGGGCAATTTAATTTTTTACGCGAGAACGTTTGTGCAAATTCTTTTGAAAATTTTTAAGTTTGCCTCGTGCTGTGGAGAAAATTCACTGAAATTTGTACGAAAATCCGCACAAATGTTTTCATTAATAAAATTAAATCACTCAATTGAATTTGGCAATAGCTAATGTGGCTTGGTTCCTCTCTGTTTAACTCGGTCCAAATTATCGCCATGGGTCCAAAAACATTGTTACTCAGTTGCCAGGTGTCTTGTTGACTGATCGGCAAGGACATTTTTCTGCCTCCGCGGAGCCGAGTTCGTGAATGAGTTAATACCAAATAAGGAAATAATACTTTTTAAAGCTGTTCAATATCAATATCAATTTTAAATTTTTTATCACATATACATTTTTCCAGTTTTTATTCGGTTTAATAAAATTATGAAGAACGCTTAATTATTCTATGAACGTCATGCAGATCAATGTTGATACAACCAGTTTAGATGTACACATGGACATGACAGAAAAATTACTCTCAAATTTCATTCGAATACTTAATCGTTGTCATCAAAATTGTCCACAATCTTGTGACAAATTTTAAAACCAATTTGCAAAAATATTGCCGAATTTCGAGTAGCAGCATAATCTCACAGTATGTTGAAAATATGTGTAAACTATTTAAGAGGCTTTTTCGGCTTGACCGAGAACACATATGTATATCAATCCGTCGGCCATGTCAGTCATCAAATCGTATTTAATATTTTGACGGTTGAAATTTATGGATGAGCCAAATTAATAAGAATCGACTAAAGTTATAAACTCCATGATTCGTCGTCCCACTGCACCATAGAAGCCATGAATCGCTCGTCTAGATCCATTGTTGCCAGATTGTGCTGAAAATTCTGCACGTTTCTCCATTTAACTCATTGTAAAATGCCCAGGCTTTTTCGCACAATCTGGCAACCTCGTCTCGATCCGAGAGGGAGGCCACCAATACCGTATCGATCCTTTTGTGCTCTTTAGGTCACACCTTTTGTCACATTCTATCGTCACACTTGAGCTAATCGAACGCAAAGCCCAGCCCGACTTAATCCGTCTTATGTTTTGAGTTCTGAGGACTCTCTAGCGGTGTTGACTGCAGGGTTCAAGCTTCGAAGCGGATTAGGGCGGTTTAACACTCGAGGACCCTATTGTCCCTAGGAATGCGCGACCCTCGTTCGCACCTGTTGATAGGGGTTGAAGGAGGGTCGCCCTCACCATCCACCAACCCCCGTGTTTGTTGTGAATATATCGATCAGATTCGCTCGTGATCAGATTCGCCTATCGATGGCGTGAATAAATCAGTGTTGCCGAATTTTCATCGAAGACGAGAAGCTGCGTCTATAATAAAAGAACTATTAGCTCTTTGACCCCCCTAAATTTTCGTTTTTTGTCACAGTTCGTTCCTCCGTTCCACTGGGCCGATTTCCTTGATTTTTGCGTTTTTTGACAAGTGATAGTCCTAAAATGGATACTCTCTTTAGTCCTAGAGAAAAAAAGGAGGTGTTTGCATTTCGGGCACATTGGAATTTTTTTGATGAAGTATGTCGGTACCACGACTTATATCATCGATTTTCTTGGAAATGGTGTAGTTTATGGAAAAAATGCATTCTACATAAAGGGTTTTAAATTATATCACGAGTTGATTTAGGCAAAAAAATCGGACGTTAGGGTCCGGATTTTGTTGACCAGGTTGTACCGACCTACGTCACAGGGTACACAATCCTCAAGATGCAAACACGTCCTTTTTTCTCTCTATGCTGTTTAGTTAAATCTCGGAAGCATGCGATGCGTCTTTTAGTTTCACGGAATCGATCAAAAACGGAGCTTGAAATGTTGCGACTCTTAAGTTTTGCCCTTATTCATAGAGTTCATAACAACATTTGGAGGGTGATTTTTGGTTTGAAAATTCCAATATGACGGTCTTGAGGCCGAAATGTATATTTTGCCAAAATGCTGAAAAGAACTATGTGCAAAGGGTTTACGTGCAACATAGTTTCTTTTCGAGTAAATAAGTCCAAATAATCCGCTTGAAAGTTAAAATGTAAACCATTGATCGCATACCTACATTGGGAAAAAACACATTGGATCAGACTCTTAAAAAAATCGACAAGAAAAAAATACTCTTGATTCAATCAGATTTAAGCTTAAATCAAGAACCAAGCCTCTTAATTTGAGCAAATTTCCTTTAGATTTAAGCTTAAATCTGATTGAATCAAGAGTCCTTTTTCTTGTCAATGTTTTCAGGAGTCTGGACTCTAGATCCAATGTGTTTTTTTTACCAGTGTACAATACATTACGCATTCAATAGTGTGAATGCGCCTCCTAGCAAGGTACGAGATTTATCTTTTTAACCCATACATCCTCGTCAAAACTTTTCGTAGAACCCATCTCACCCTAATTCATAGGGCATTTTTTAAAAAGAAAAAACTGTTTTTTTTTACCTTAGCATAAGTTTTGAACAAACCCATTTCCCCATCGCTACGTCGTCGTTTCCATTCTAAGGTTTTCTGTATGAACGTGTTGGCGAAGTTGATTGAAACCATGGTAGGTGAAAAGAAGGTTTGCTCTTCCCCCATTCAAGAACCCAAAATCGACGAAACACTCAGTCGCGTTTATTTTATTGCCTTGGCGGGAAATTTGCCCACGGGGACCAACCAGAACCGAATATTGAAGAACTGGAACTCGTTTTCGGGAAAATCAAACCAATGAGAATCGAATATTGCAGAATTAGAACCCTGTCTCAAACTTCCCGCAAAGACTGAAAAAAATTCAACGCGACTAATTGTTTTGTTTTCGATTTTGGGTGAGCTTCATCGGAGGAGGATACCTTCGTTTCTCGTATGTCGGAATCACACGCTGAATTTGGCAGCTAGATATGGAAGTTCATAGTCACACGGAAAAAAAGACTTCGTGCGTGGGACCCGAAGTTTAGGTCATATGGACCTCTGAAGTTTTCGGACTGAGCATCTGAACACTTTATAGGTCCAGCTGCTGAGGTTTGGATCACACATCTGAAACTTCAGTTCCTACATCTAAAGTACTTCGGTTTTCACATCCGAAAAACGTCGGTTCTCACATCCGAAAAACTTTGGTTCTCACATCTGCAGTACTTCAGATGTAAGAACCGAAGTTTCAGATGTGTGATCCGAACCTCGACAGCTAGACCTAAAGTGTTCAGATGCTCAATCTTAAAACGTCAGAGATCCATATGACCTAAACTTCGGGTCCCACGCACGAGGTTTTTTTCTCCGTGAATCGCTCAGCAGCTTAAATTTCGCAAATTCGAGTGAATTTTCATCCGGATTTGTATAAAATCTCTGCGAATAGTTCAGATAGGGCCGACATTATCCAATGGTCGCTGAGCCTAGTTGAATTTTGCGCGACTCCAGGCATCGGGCCGATGACTTCCACATTTAAGCCACATCCAGCTCCCGCATTTAACGTGTGATTCCAGCTTTTCTTCGTATGGGAACGATGAGTGTAGTGAGACGGGGATAGAGAATTGTTGACTGTGGGTTGACTGGTTGTTGACTGTTGCAGGGCGTGTGATCTGCGTGGAGCGGGCGCGGGAGTGGTCGCAGCAGCCGCGCTACGCGCCTCCCCCGAACCTGTTCAGCAACTGCACCTCGGCCATCGGCGCCTGCACGCTCTTCCCCATCCCCCCCGCCACCGCCGCCCTCCTCAGGAGCACAGACAAACAGTCCTTGCCCATTCCTTGTCCAGAGGTAAGATTATCACAACAAATCATCTTCTCAAATTGTTCAATCCTTTATTTTCAAAAAGGCCATAGCAGATTCAATATATTTTAAAGACCCCGTACGAGCAATCTAACCAATGTACTCCAAAGGGACCGCCATTTTCAAGCCCACAATCGAAGCTATGATCTCAAAATGCGGAATACAACTATATCAACTTCCAAGTAGCTCAAGTTGCATACCTCTCGAATTGAAGGAAAACCGCGATTTTTCTTCGTTTGTGTCACCGTTTACGCTCGATTATACATTCGTTTTGAATGCATGCATTGCCCCTTGCAGACTGTATATTTTAAACACCCTCTACGAGCAATCTGAGCAATGTAATCCGAAGGCGAAAAGTAATCGGAGAACAATGATACTTTCAATTCAACAATCGAAGCGATAAGCGCAAAATGCGGAATACAACTATTTCAACTTTCAAGTAGCCTAAATTGTATACCCTACATAAATTGAAGGAAAATCGCGATTTTCCCTCGGATTCCTATTTTTAACGCCGAATACACTTTCGTTATGGATGCATACTACCTGCAGAGACTGCATACTTAAGAGATCCCCCACGAGCAATCCAACCAATGTAATCCAAAGGCGAAAGTTAATCGGAAGTCAATAATACTTCCAATAATCCAAGCGATGAGCTCAAATTGCGAAATACAACTATTTCAACTTCCGAATAGCATAAATTGCACACCGTCCGAATTGTAGGAAAACCGCAATTTTCCTTCGTATTCCCATCGTTCACGCTCGATTACACGTTCGTTTTAAAGTATTGCTACTTGCAGAGACTAATATTGCGAAGACCCCACCCACACGCTCAATTTAACCAATGTAACGCAAAGGCGAAAGTTAATCGGAGGTCAATTTAATACTTTTAAAAATCGAAGCCATGAGCTCCAAATGCGAAATACAACTATTTCAACTTCCGAGTAGCTTAAATTGCATACCTTCCAAATTGAAGGAAACTCGTAGGTTTCCTTCGTACTTCCACCGTTTGCTCAATACACATCCGTTTTGGATGTTTCGCTACTTGCAGAGATAACATAGGACCTCTTACAAACGATCTAAGCAATGAAATCATCAGCGGCAAAAGTTAATATTCGGAGTTCAACGCCACTTCATTACTTCAATAATTATCGTGAATCGCAAATGTAACCGCAGAGTGACAAATACAACTATATCAACTTCCAAGTAGCTCAGATTGCATACCTCTTCAATTGAAGGAAAACCACGGTTTCTCCTCGTATTCCCATTTTGCAATATGAAGGTACTATTTCCGCTTGATTTTGAAAGCAACGTGTGTGTAATTAGTTTTCCTATGCAGGTAGGCACTTGCATGGATGAGCCAGAAATAGCTTCTAATCGCAAAATATATTCCAATTTATGTCCCACAAGTGTTTTTCGCTTCGCTCATTTTCGTTCTAATTTGACGAAACATAGAGTATCAAACTTCATCGAAGGGATCCAATCATTTTCTATTCCTAAAATTTAACGTTCTCCTTCGTTTAAATGATAAATCCAAAATAAATAACGGTGGTTCATTACCCGTAACACTGCCATCCAAACATACCCACAGTAAGAGATTTCAGCAAAATGTGCCCAACGTCTAAATTTTGAACCATATTACCGCTAATTTATTGACACTTGAAGGTCTCCACGGAAATTCCGAAACTATTTCTCAGGCGAGGGAAAAATTAAATTTTCAGCACGTGCCCGATTATTGGGTCGGCCCGCCCCCACCCCTCTACTCCCGTGCTAAGGAAAAACGCCGTATGAACATTCGAGAGTTGCCAAATTTCCTCCGATAACCTGTTTATTTTTGAGGATAGCTATGAATATATTTTCTTGAAATTTTCAGGAACTTTAGGTGAAATTGCGAACAAAATTATCTGAAAAATCGAAGTGAAAATATGTACAAATTTTCCCAAAAATTCGTGATTTACCGGAGGAAATTTGGCAACGCCTGAAGGTTTATACGACGTTTTTCCTTAGACCGGCAGTCTACTCGAAGACAAGCGGGAGATTAGCGAGTGTTTACTTTTCTTTAATCCACGGTATATTTCACGCGCTCCGCAAATATTTAACTTCGAAACACTAATATTTGAGGAGCTGAAATGTAGTGCATTTGTATTAACAACTTCGCGAGATCTCGGGAGCGTTGCGTTGGGCCAAGTCCAATTTCATTCATGCGGAAATCGAGATCGCGAGATGCGCTGAGTAGGTGTAGGTGTACACTTCAAACAGAGCTGCCGACTTGTTTCGGGCTTTGGACGTTGTTGCGAGGATAAAGAGACGTGTGTCAATTTGCAGCCGAGTGAATGAGGAATGGGATTTCAAGACGTGGTGAGCGCCTTCAGGTATTGCTGAGATTGTGCAATGGAGATGTTGCATGTGTGAGGGAATTGCGATTTGACCATTGATTCCTATGTAAAAGTTCGCGAGAAACACGATGGTGCCACTGGTTTTCTCTGAAATCAGCTCCCAAGCTCAAAAAAAGCTCTCAAAGTGAGGCCAAAATGGAGGGGATATCCCACCCTACCCTGAGAGTCCACCTCTACATCAAGACAAACTCTCCGTGCAAAGATAAGGAGCAAATACATTAGTAGAGTTGCCGTGTTTTCAGTTTTGGAGTCCCCAAATAAAGTGGCAGCCCTGTCAATGTATTTGCTCCCTATCTTTGCATGGAGAGTTTGTTTTAATGCAGAGGTGGACTCTCAGGGTAGGGTGGGATATCCCCTCCATTTTGGCCTCACTTTGAGAGCTTTTTTTGAGCTTGGGAGACGATTTCAGAGAAAACCAGTGGTACCATTGTGTTTCTCGCGAACTTTTACATAAGAAACAACAGTCAAATTGAAAATGCCTCACACATGCAACATCTCCATTGCACTGTTCAAAATCTCAAAGTGCAGTCTGAAGTGCATCAGGGAAGAAATTAAATTGCTGCTTTAACAATTCAATTGCTAAAAAAAAGTGACTGCAATGTTTCAATGTAGATTGTACAACACAAACATGCTACTTTAACCACCCCTGTGGTTAAGTCAGCTTACAATAGTGGTTAAAGTATAGTATTTTTTTGTTGTAAAATCTACGTTGAAACGTTGCAGTCACTTTCTTTAGCAATTGAATTGTAAAATCAGCAATTTGATTTTTCCGACTTCCGGACACCCGAAAAGATGTGAGTGTTGGGCGGAATCTACCGTATTTTCGGATTGAGTTCCACTTTTAAAGCGGATTTTTTCTTTATTCATTTGATTCGAGGGTTTTTATAGGGAGGTGGGGGCACAAAATAAGCTCCGCAGTGAAACTCTCTAGATTTCAATCCAAGATTCCTAACATTGTGTCTCTTCCATTTAATCGGTATCCAATAGGCTCAGAATAATAATTCTTGACTTTCCTCTACTTCTCCTTCTCCCTTGTCTTTTCTTCTTCTTCTTCTTCTTCTTCTTCTTCTTCCTCCTCCTCCTCCTCCTCCTCCTATTTTTATCTCCCTATGTTATCGTTTCTACATCGACTTTGCCGACGCAGACCGTTTGACCATTCCAAGGGGGGAGATACCACTATTCGACCACGTGGGAGCTTGTGTTGCCTACACTAACAATTGAAGGCGAACTGACATGAAGTTATGGTAACCGCTTCTCATCGGGTACTAAGCTCTCATTTGTGTGTCCCGCGATTTCACGAGCCACTTCATTATGATACCACCATGTTTGACCACGCGGGAGGTCATGTTAACTGCACTAAAAATTGAAGGCAAATTTCACCAAAGTTTAAGTAAAATTTCCGAATTAAAAGTTCATGAAGCAAGGAAATTTTGGTTATTTTACCAGAAACTTGGAAACTTCGATCGATTTTAGTGTGGCAACATGCAACACCGAGCACTTATTCATTCTTGAAACGCGGTTGCTAAACTTAGAAGCGAAGCGAATAATTGAATCAGAATTGAAGTGTGATAAAAAACTAATTTTCGCGTATTGCAGAAACAATGCGAGAAAAAAAAGAGAACAAATAAAGAGAAAAAGTTTACTCGATCTCTTGCATTAGCCGCGCGTGTGCCCTTAATACTGTGCTTGAAATCCGGAATCACATCGTTTGCCTAAATTATTGCTCATTCTGCCCCATTTTTTTCTTGAAGTTTACTCCACGATAAACACTTTCAAGGACAGCAGAAGTTTTGGAGCGCGCGTGTCTGACTGCAAGTTCATTTTCAAATTACCCGTGGATTTACAAAGAAGAAAGACAGGAGTGGTCTATGCAAAAGAACATTCTGCAGCTTGCTGAATTACAAAGTCACAAATTCGATTAAAAAAATGTCCAAAGCAGGCATCAGACATTACTTTATCGGTCCTAAAATATTAATTGTAGGTTTTTTTTTTGGAAACGGTAAATTCAGATAGGTTTATCTGGCTTCCTGACATCCGATTATTTTAGTGTAATGGGCCTGTTGCAAACTTCAGCTCAAGAAAAAAAGAAGGGTTGTTTCAAGGGTTGTTCGCATCAAGAAAGTCTGAATTACACTCCTTACTTCACAATCTGCGCTGAAAGTATTATGCTTTTTTTTTAGCTACCTGCCTCAAAAACGATACTACGGCACAGGTGCACATCTTGTAGGAGGCATCGTTACATCCAACCCTAATTGCGAACTGAGGTGCTACGCAATATTTAACATGGTTTTTATCAATGCAAGGAAAATGAAAATACCTAACATTATCCCGTCTCATTACATGTGTTTCGGCCGGTTGGCGACGGTCATTTTGAATACTTCTTGGCATCCTAGTGCCTACAGGTTGGATGGAACGATTCCTCTTAAGAAATATTCACCAGCAGGCTGATTATTGAAATTGATTGACAAAGCGATGGACCAAGAAGGCAGGGAGTATGGAGCGATCATATAGGTTGAAATGGGTGGTTTCCTATTGACTAAAGGAGAAAATGATGAACGAACCAAAGAGTATCTCATAGGTTGCCGTTAATTAGTC